GGCCAACCAAAAAGGGCAGGCGAGGGCCGGGGGACCGCCCCCCCCCCCCCCCCCGCCGGTTGCCACGGCAGGCCCAGCTCGTCATCCACGGCCGTGTCGCCGGCATCCAGTGCCTCCGAAACGCGCTCCGTTCCGTGGATCCGGCCGGAAATGGCAAGCTCGATCGCGAGGACGTCAGGTGCTGCCGGAAGCGCTTTTTTTTCGCGCACACTGTTGACGTTTACCCCCAGTTTCCGTAATCTAAGCCTGGCGCAACACCGATCAAACGGAACCAACAACCGTGGCACAGCAGTAGTGGTCCCTGTGTATGGCCGCATAAATATGGTCGGTGGCCCTCTATAAGGTCAGTGAAATCGCGGGAAACGGAGGGCATATTGAAGTTGTCTCACGCTCTGAAAAATGCTGGGTGCCCGGTATTAGACCGGCCGAATCCCTTGATACTATTATGTGGCCTTATTGAGGGGCCACCAACTGTAATCGCAGCCGCAGCAGCAAGTCTAACGAGAGCAATAGCACGGTTCGGAAGCAGCCAGCAGATCGGAGCAGCAGCAGCTTTTTCGAAGTCACCCCCTGTGGCGCGAGACTTAGCGACGAAGATGAACAAGAGACGAGAGTTTCCAAGGAATGTGCACTGCTCTGGCCTTTCGTGCTGGCCGTTTTTCGTTGACTTTGGCAGAACTAGAAATAAAGAACAGGCAGACAGTGCACGGGAAGGAATATGCCTCCTTCGATGCTGGCCTTCCCATCGGCTGTCTAACCCGATGCGCTCGCTTCAACCCGAAGTCCACACAAGACATTGAGGCTCATTAATTTTATACTTCAAGAAAAGTGGCGCAAGAAGTTGGGCTCGGGCGCCGGCACCACAGTAAATCCTATTCTTGTATGATAGCCTTGAAATAGCGGTGCTCAATCGTTAAGGCCCGTTGTTAGCCTTTGGACCTTGCTGAAGATTGGTGCTTCTTACGATCGGGCCGGTATTTCCTATACTGCAATGGTTTAGGTGGTGCCTTCACGACTTTGGGCTGGAGCTGGACGAGGAGCAGAGCGGCATTCTGTTCGACAAGTACGACAGGGACAACAGCGGCCTCGTCCAGTGAGTTACAGCCTCTCATATGCGCCAAGTATGAAATCGTGAAGTTGTCTGGTTTAAGAAGAACGACGAACGACTAAAACGCGAAGGAACGTGTGTCTGCAGTTGAGTGTGTGTATGGTGAACGTGTTAAAACAGAGTCTTGCGGCATGGCTTGCTGAGCATGGCTGCACAATTTGGTCCCGCGAGGACTACCTCGATACGGTGAATGGTTGGCTCGTCGAGAAAATTGCTGGTTGTGAAGGGTTCGTTTGGGACACAACAGTTTTTTCAAGAAAACGCGTAACAAAACACGGCGCAAAATGAACGATGTCGCTACAACATCTGGAACCTAACTCTCATTCAAGGCAGGCTTCTGCGAAGACAAAGTTTGTATACTACCACAACAGCCGGTACTCCTTGACCACGCTACACTTTCTCAAAATCATAGAACGTCAGGACAAGCCTTCCCCCCCCCCCTTCATCCGTGCAAAACATGTCCGCATCGTGAGCGACCTGCTTTCCAAATTAATTTTGGTTTCTTTCGCGCATGCGTGCGCATCGGTGGCATCACAACCGACAACCCTCTAACTGTGTTCATCTACAACTGGTTTTGTTTTTCAGGATTGAAAACTTCCTGTCCGGACTCCGAGTCCCGCTGAGCGACCACCGGAGAAACATTGTGAAGGAGGCGTTCGGCGGTTTCAATCCCAACGGGAATGACAAGGTGAGCAACATACACCCTTGCCGCTCCAAATTCACTCACGAGGGAACAAATGGGAAATGTGCACAAGCTACAGTATTGTTGCGGGTATGCAACTATACGGTAGAGTGAATAACGTGGTTAGTGGCATGAAACGGCAGTGCTTCCGGCTTAGGGTGGTGGTGGTGGTCTACGTGGGCAATGCGGTAACGGTATCCCGTGGCAAAAGAAGAACAACGGGTCGCACGGAGTCGTTTCAGCACTAAGATACGTCGATACCCACAACGCGCACAGCTTGTATGTTGTTGACTTTGCAGGATTGTTGGACAAGCTTATGACGCCGGGAATTCTACCACCTACCGTACGAGTGCGGGCGCACGCACATGTGTGCGATCGATCGTTCTTAAGGATCAATTTCCCCTACACCCAAGAAGATGCCATTGCTGACCCGCATGCGCAAGGAAGACTCTCGACGAGATCTTTCCAAAACCACCCTTTCGGCACTGGCGGCCTCTTGGCTGTGGGGGAATCGACCTACAAGTAGTTGAGTCGATCACACACCTGCGCGTTGTTTGTGACGTGCGTAAAGAGGCACGACAAACTCTTGGAGACGATGTATTTGTCTTGTCCTGAATACTTGGGTAGTATCTCCAATGGCTGAATGTTCTGGAGGTCAAACATTTATCGACCTGCTGACGAACGTAACAGTCTTGGTCCTCCACAACGTCGCTTACGGTTTGCGACTTCTAAAGGTGGGCCTGGATGTGTTGCAGCACTGTTTGGACGCCGAGGCAGCTGGGACGGCTCTCACCGGCGGCGTAGCCACACCTCCCTTGGAAACCTTGGATGCGTTACGCGCGGGGCTGGGGGTAGGTGGGGCATCGAGGACGGGAAGCGTGAATCAAGCCGACTTCGAGCGGTATCATGAGGTAGGTCTACTTCTGTGTACTACAATGAGCGGTACATTTTACATCGCTCTGTTTTGTTTGTGGAACAAGGGAATCGTCCTCGACGGAAGCTGGGGAGAGAGATAGGACCATATTGAAGGTGCTATTTTAGTGGTCTAGACTAACTTTTTCTTTTTTAATTGGGATTTTCCCTCGTGGTCTGGCGGTATCTTCGAAACCTTGGGATGGTCCAAGGGCGTGGGTCCAAAGGCGTGCATGACACAGATATTTGGACCCACCTCCCGGTGAAGTCATGTTCTAGTTGTCGACGAGGGAGAAGGATTGTGAGGGAGAGGGATTGTCAAATCCTTCTCGCCACTACGGTCCAGAGGAGAGGGAATGTTATGCATGTAGATAGTGGTGTAGCCTGCTTCCTCCTCGCAAATGTGAATCCGGAGACCGGATGCTGTCATCGTTCAACTTCCTCCGAGCTCCGGGGTTAGAAATTAAGTCCGACAGTTTGTCATGATGTAAGAAGGATTGCGTCTCGTCCTCTCCCATAGCCTATTAGCGCGATGACATATATTTGTACTGCCGTAGTAAAAAGACATGATCTCCCCCCCCCCCCCCCCCCCCGGANNNCTTTTCTTCTTCAAAATTAAAATCGGGGGGCCGGGGGGTTTTTTTTTTTAATTTTCTTCGGGCCCCGGGGTTAAAAAATAATTCCCAAATTTTTTCCTTATTTAAAAAGGGTTGGTTTTTTTTTTTCCCCCTTCCCTTTTGGGGGGGAGAAATTTTTTTTTTCCGCCGTTAAAAAAAAAACTTTTTCCCCCCCCCCCCCCCCCCCCCCGGAGGCGATGTTTGCCATCGGGGTTGGGTTTTCGTCGCTTGGCAGAGATGTTGTAAAACAAACCGATCACTTCGTGAGCTCAGCAAACAGGTTACCGCTTCTTTTTTTGCCTTTGTTTTTTTTTTGCGGTTACCATGAATGGTGGTCGAGTAGATCATGTTGTGTGGGGTGGAGAACCCTCACTCGGTGCAAACGGGATAATCGCACCACGTTGTGTTAAATTGGCCAAGCACCCTCGAGGCAGTTACACAGCGCTAACAACTGTCTTTAGAAGTGAAAGCACCAGAAATTAATTTAAGTCATACGCAGCTGTCATCCGTACGCAAGGAAGTAAGCACAAGATGCCGAACACCCTTAGCAGGATGCAGCTCACCCTTCATGCGACTCGCCGAATACCTCACGGTGCTTCGCGCTTGGTGATGTGAGAGCCTGGTCTGGTGAGAATCTGGCGTGCTCCGTCCCGGCTTAGTATTGATGCGAGGTCAATGGTCTAACGACTACGGCATGCACGACTATGAGTACACCCCGCCCACCGCCCTTCTCACGTTTCATGGACGTGTTGATGACGATGCTGATGTTAATGGTGGCAGGACCTGTGTGTCGATGTGGAGGACAACACACTATTCGAGGACGTCGTCAAGGCAGCTTGGCAAACAGCAGCAGCAGCGCCGGCGGCGTCTGGATAGACAAAACTATTGAGAGCAGCGACGATGAAGGATGTCGAGGACAACTTGATGCTTGGGCAAATGCGAGGAAAAAACTATTGAGAGCAGTGACGATGAAGGATGTCGAGGACAATTTGACGCATGGGCAAACGCGAGGAACAACGTACCGAAAACAAGAACGATGTGCTGGTGCAGATAGGCTCACCGATGTAGATGATACTACCAGCCAGGTGGACGGCGGAGCCTATTGTACGTAACTACAGTCTAGACTACGTGTGGTGTTCTCCTTCGGTCTTGAACTACAGTATTCTACTGCAAGTAGCTCAGTACCAGGTCAAAGGCCGTAGCTCGCTCTCACGGCACCACCAACAAAAAGTACCGGGGATCTCTCAGAGGACCAGCACGGTTGGTTGCCCGAGGCAAACTGCGTTGCGAATCTACTACGTCTACAAGTATAGTACAGGATGGTTGTTGATTTTGTCCACCGAAACAACCCAGCCAAATGAAGAAGGGCCGGTTTTCTTTTCACCATTCCGTGGTTTCAAACGGTTCAAACGGGGAAATTGGGTTCGGGTTGAATGGGCCACATATAGTTACATGAACACAAACATGGTCCTCACGATATTGACCGGCGCTTCCATACGTGGGCCGGCATTATTTTGACGAAGCGTAGACTATAAGCTATCAAAAGTCTACATACCTACATTGTACATAGCGGCTAAATGGTACACTTTATCATAACTTCAGCAGCAGAAGACTATTTAGTACCGCACTACTATCGTTCGTGGAACGCACGACCTGTTTTTTTTGTTCTCGTTCGTTCATCGATGTGGTACACATGCAGACGTCGCCCTAGGAGTATTCTCGAGCTAAACACGGGTACTTCCCCTACGCAGACATCTGCTTATTCACTGTGAGTGCCGGTCTACGCTCTCGGATGTTCGAAGTTATTTATCTTGTGAGCGGCAGCTTGGGGGGCATGAACTATATATATATTTTTTTCTTAACATGACACCACGAACTTTTCTATTTTTCGATGGATCCAAGATCCAAGTGGAGACGAAAGCCTGTCTGTCTGTATATGATGCTGTTTGGTTTCTCCTGGTCGGGCTCTCGGGGGCCGATGCTGGGCTTCTGCAGGCGCAAAGGTGAACATGTGATGCTGCCATCTGCGGTGGGGTAGCGCGCCTTATAGAGCGCTCAGGGCAGCCTCCCTCACAGTCTTCAGCCTTCTGACCTCTCAGCATGAGCCAGGATGAGCTGGTTGGGAACCGTAATTCCTTTATGAACCCCCGGGGATGGTTCCTACTATCCCCTGTGGGTGTCACAGCACGCACGCACGCACGGGGAGGAGGTGTGTAACTGCTGTCACGCACGTGTTCTCACTGTGTCTTGGACATCACGCGTCCAACTAAAGAGCAGGCCGATAACGTCAACAGGCAAGTCCCATCGCTCACTGCGCCGGACAGAAGCGACTTCTAGATTTTACTCCTCTACATAGCAATGCCAGCTTCCTCCCAGATTGAGCGCGGTCGAATTGACGGGTTCGAGGTTGAACTTTTCCAACTCGTCAAAAAGGAGGCGACGTCCGAGCAGTGGGGGGAATGGCTTCGAGCGCCGCTTGAGCATGCGTCGGCCGAGCGTAACATAGACCTCTTTGTACGGCTGGCGGGTTGCTCCGTACTCAGTGATGACCTTGATGGGCTCGAGGTTGAGATTTTCAAACTCGTCCGAGAGCAGGCCACCTCCATGCAGTGGAGGGAATGGCTTCGAGCGCCGCTTGAGCATGCGGCGGCCGAGGGTAACATAGACCTCTTTACACGGCTGATGGATGCCGGTGCCGATGGTAGTGCAGGCTGGCGGGGCTGCCATGGACGAACGCTGCTGGGCGCGGCTGCATACGGCAAGAACGAGGAAATTGTAGAGAGACTGCTAGCTGAGGACGGGGCGACTGAAGATGTGAACGTCTGCTTCGGGGATAGACTTGAATCGGCACTGCATGTGGCAGCGGGCCGGGACGACCAGCACCTCTCGAGGGTGCTTTTGATCGCTGGAGCAGACCCGAATCTGCTTGATGACGTAGGGCGCAGTCCGCTTCATGTGGCTGCTGAAAAGGGACACCACCGAGTTCTGGGATTCCTTCTCCGGAAAGGACGAGCAGACGCAAACAAGACGACCTTGGATACGCTGAAGTGTACGCCTCTATATCTTGCTGCCAACAACGGGCACACGAGTTGCGTGTCAAAACTTTTGCTTTACGGGGCAGACACGGATTGTGGCGATCGTTTTGAGAACACGCCCCTCTGCGCAGCTGCAACAGGCAACCACCTCGAGGTAGTCAAGCTACTGTTGGCTGCCGGTGCCGACCTGAACATTCGTCCCGACGCGGGCATGTGTGCCCTCGACCTCGCTGCCCTCAACGGCAATGCGGATGTGGTGAGAATCCTACTGGGAAACGGTGCCGATGTCAATGCCTGGAACGACGAGGATTGGGCGACCGCTCTGCACTGTGCCGCTCAGGGTTCACGACCACTCCTCGAAAATGGCGACGTTATCCGGGTGTTGCTCGAAGCAGGGGCGGATATCCATGCAACGACGAAAGAGTGTGTCTGGACACCGCTCCACCGTGGCGTTTATTCGCGGCTTTCATCACTTGATACGATCCATGCCCTGTTGGAGGGAGGAGCGGATGTCAATGCGCAGGCAGAAAACACGTGGACGCCCTTGCACTACGCTTGCTACAAATCTAACGCGGCTGCTGTGGATCTACTTTTGCGGTGGGGAGCAGATGACACGATTGTGGACGGAGAGGGCGAGACGGCGGCAGACGAAGTGGGAACATGGGACCCAGAGGTGCACTCAAATGAGGACGACGGCAGCATCGACGATGACAAACTCAAGGCAGATGGACAGCGCACTCGCCTAATCCTGGCATGCGCTCCGGTCGACAGATTATGGCGTCGCCGAGGCTGGCTGGTCCTGTGCCGCTCCTACCCGACCAAGGTGCAGATTTTGAAGGACAGCAGCAGCAGCAGCAGCGGTTGCAGCACCGCCAAAGCGGCGAGAGTTAGCGAGGAGGACTCGGGCGAGTGTGGTGATGAGGATGGAGACGAAGCGAGGATCGAGTTGGGGCGTTTGGTGGGCCACATAGTCGGACTGCAAGCCGACGTCGTGTTCCGGATGGTGGTGGGCTATATTTGAGGTACGAGGAGGTGACAAAGGGACGGAGAGAGAGAGAGAGAGAGAGAGAGAGAGAGAGAGAGAGAGAGAGAGAGAGAGAGAGAGAGAGAGAGAGAGAGAGAGAGAGAGAGAGAGAGAGAGAGAAACATAGGAAGATGGATTGCCGCATTTTCGTAATGGCTGGTTTTAAACAGGCGCTCGATGGTCTCCAACGTGTTCAATTTCTGTCGTTCAAGGCTCATGCATGCCCACTGTTGTTGTTGAACGCAAGAGTCCAACATTTCAAATTGGTGCCATGGTTCTGGTGCGACTCCAACGATTTGCCTGGTCGGCCTGAACAGGCTTCCTTGACTGCCTACCGCCTGCTGTTGACTGGGTTTCGCGGGCTTCCCTGCCGCTCTCTTGGATTCGGTCTTATTCGTGTTGCCGACTTCCGACCGACCGCATGCATGTCCTAAATCCACAGGCATGTGGTGATTTTTACTGAATTGGTCATGCACAAGTAGCGGCCGAATCTAAATGTCGTTTGTATTTAAAGCAGAGCTATTCCTGGTGAGCACGATGTAGACAAATCAGGCGCACTCTTGTCCACCAGTCTGCGAAGAGCCGATGGATTGTTGACGGTCATGTACTCTCTATTCTTTGAACCCCGTACTGCTGTCGAGGCGTTCACGTATCGCACCACCGGGTGAAACACCCGTACTTCCCCTGGACCTCTACCGCCGTGTTCAAAGGTGGCACCAGCTGGTTCCATGAAGAATCATGAAACTCCTTCGGGCCGCCCGTGGATGAAAACAACAAGCGTGTGAAGTTTATTCTTATGCGTAGCCCCTCGCCGTCCCCTGTGTCGCCGGGGCTCCGCAATGGCATTTTTTCCCCCAACCGTATATTTTGTTCTCCCAGGTCAAACTGCTACTGGTAGATAAAAAATCCCGAGTGGTGCCCCCGCCGACTGCTGTAGAATCTCAATTGTCCCCTCTAAATCATACCAGCTTGAGCCACCCCGTCGATCAAAACTGCCGCATATCAGTGTAGACCCTGTAGCGCGAGATCGAGGTGCTTGAAGTTTGGCGATTTGAGCACAATCTTCCCGCCGAGATTTTTGGTGAACCCGCGCAGCAAAGTGTGCTTCAGTTGCAGACAGCTACAGCCCACCACAAGCAATCACACTTCTCGAAACTGCCAGAGCCTACCGATATGGTGTGTGAGTGGTGTCGCATGACTTGACAGCTGCAGCAGACAACCAGAACCGATTCTAAAGGTGTTCGCTGTTGTCTTTGCACGCAGCAGCCCGAAAATTGGCCAAAATGCCCGATCTTCTGGGCCCTGTGAAGCGCTGCTGGCGTTCTCCCCGTGTGTATGCCCGATGCCCGATCAACAAACGGATTGAACGCGAATGCAGCTGGTTCACTGGGTGTTCTCAATCTGCAACAACATGTATTTGGCAGATTTGGCACGGTTTGACTTTTCGATCTACGACGCAAAACCTTATTCAAATATGCCTTTTCCGTCTATTTTTTCGTCCCCCCCCTATGAAGGTCCGGTGAGAACCCGGCGTGCTCCGTCCCGGCTTTGTAGGGATGCGAAGTCAATGGTCTAACGACTACGGCATGCACGACTATTAGTACCCCCCCCCCCCCCCCCCCTAAAAAGCGG